TGTGTGTGTGTGTGTGTGTGTGTGTGTGTGTGTGTGTGTGTGTGTGTCTTTCAGCCGTTCTCTAAACGTTCCTGTACTACTGAAGTCATGTCCTAGTAAACACCTCTGGCTCGAGCCAAGAGCACAGAAGGGGAAAACTTGTCCTGACATTTTCCTGACGCACAATTTCGAATTCACATGTGTGTTCATTAGAATATTACTACAGTGACCTCACCAGCGCTTTTCTGAAAAAAGAGATTGTCAACTTAAAGCGCTCGGAGCCGCTGCACAAAAAAACGCTGGGTACAGCACTTTTTCTGTAGGCGGCCTAGAAAAAGGCGCCAAGTGGACACAGGTGTGTGTGTGTTTCTTGGAAAGTAAGAGGTATTAAATAGATTTAAAACCTTGCTGCATGACCAAATCTCTCTTTACACTTCGGTTGACTGCTGTGTGAGAGTGATAACACTGCGCTTGTGTAACAGTACGTGTCTCTACAGGACAATATATAAATGCATTTGAAATGATTTAGGTTAAATTGTAAACCACAGGAAAAGGAACAAGAGTCACTATAATAGACAGAACTAATCAAGCTTTAATGACCAATCACTTCATCCACTGAAATAGAAAACAACCTGAAACACAGCATCTGAAACAGACCTACACAGGAGAAGAAAATCATGAATTCATTATTCAACAGGCTGTTATCTTTGACCATCCTGACTCACCGTATCCGGTCTGGGACACCAGTTCAGCTGCTCCTCCGATGGGCTTGGTGAAAACCCCCACAATGCCTTTCCCCACTCCAGAGATGACCCCTTTGGCCTTGCTCCCAGCGGAGCTCTGCAGCTCCCAGTTCCTCTGGAAGTTCTGCATGGGTTGGTCCACGATGCCCGCTATTGCGCCTGAAAGAACAAAGGAAAAGTCAGTGTTCTTTATTAGCGTGCTTTGTTCAATAAAAACTAAATAAGAGACGTACAGTTACAAAACACACAAAAGACACAGAGGGATTTCATTTTAACAAGACATGGGAAACAAACTTATTCCATAGCGTCATAAATGGGACTCACACAGGAATTCAGACACAGAAAATATCTGACCCTTCATTTTATGTATGACACATCGACAGGGCACATCAGGAATTATAATCCACTGTAACCCAGAGAGATATGCACAGCTGTTTGGTTTCAGTGACAGTATGCTCTGTATGTCTTGAGACTTGACTTTTACTCATAGATATATATGGTTTCATTGCCCTCTGGGTGTTTTGAGTCCCTGCTGTGCTGTCTCCACTGCTCCGTTTCATAGCTCTCTGTCATTGTGCACACCAGTGCACCAGTGTGCGTGCGTGCGTGCGTGCGTGCGTGCGTGCGTGCGTGCGCGTCTGATGCCAGTGAAATGCGTGTGCATGTTTCAAATGACCTGATGTTAAGGGGATCATACATTGAGTTCAATGAAAATGAAAATAAAAATTCTCTCTGCATACCTAACAAGCTAATGCCGAGTCGTGACAGCCCCTGCCTCAGTCCGTCCCCGAGGCTCTCCGGGAGCTGGCGTCTCCACTCCTCCTGCCTGGTGTAGTGCTCTTCATCCAGAGACAGGCGGTCCATGTTCCTGGCCAGACTCGTCGCTAAGTTGGTGATGGAGGTCAGTGTGCCTGAACACAAAACAAATGATGTTCAAGCTCAATGCTCAACCAAAACGGTTCATTTCAAATGTGTAAATGGTAAATGGATTGTACTTGTATGCCCTTTTCTAGTCTTTCGACCACTGTAGTAACACTGCATGTCATCATTCACCCATTCATACACTGAGGGCACAGCATTAGGGAGCAATTTGGGGTTAAGCATCTTGCCCAAGGACACATCGACATGGACTAGTGGAGCCGGGGATTGAACCGCCGATCTTCTGATTGAGGGACGACCCGCTCTAACTTCTGGGCCACAGTCGCCCACAAAATAGAAACAGTGTTCATCAGGCAACGTACAATATGTGTTGTATCAGCCTAAAGTAAGCTATTCCACAAAACAAACGTAAACATTCTGAACAGCTGTTACCTTTTGAGATATGCTTGACGAAGGAGGTGGTTCCTCTGGACACCCCGCTGACGAAGGCTCCAGGCCCACGCGTCAGACCTTCGTATGGCAGCCGGAAGAAGTCGGACACGCCGTTGCCGATACTCCGCACCAGGCTGGCAGGACTGCCCAGGATATCCAAAGATCCCACCACCCAACCTGTGAACACAGCGACGACCACAGCACAGTTGTTCAATAACACTTCATAATAAGTGAACGTATGAATGAAATAAGTGTGATATTATCCACGATGTTGTTGTATTACTCTGTGTTTACATTAATGATGCTCAAACATAGTGAACTGTGATGGACAATGTTTCCCCGGTGTTGAATTTGTCATGTTAATATGTCGGCCATATCATCTGGCCAGAGAATAGTTTTTTTGCTGCTGTTTACATTCCCCCTGATGCAAGTTCCAACAATGCATCACAGGAATGCATCCCTGTGTTTGTCAGGTTTTTCTCGTGTGGGGCTACAAAGGGCTACAACTGCATTTTGTTGCATAATGACGATAAATGATCCTTGAATGAGTCTATTCAGCCTTCTTTCTCTTCTCTCTCTCTCAGTTTAGCTTTTCAAGAAAAACTTGGACTGGAAGCAAATATTTAAAGAAATAAACTTTAACTGTATTATTTTTGGAGGTAGCCGCAATGGTGTGATACCACAGAATTTACAGATTTTACATACCGTAAAACACAACCGTAATTCTTTATACTGCTAAAATGGGTTTTGTATTTAACAGAAACACATCTGGAACACCTGCTTTTAGGAGGAACACTCCACATACAAGCCCCTTGAGTAAACATTCACCCTCCTCTACACGTTTGGATTGGCTCTCCCAATTTAAACGCTTCGCAGAATTATTTGCACAATGTTTTTACATCTTGATTATACATATGTCCAGCATTGTTTCACATACACTCATGCACAAAGACTCACACACTCCTGCATGAAATCATACATGTGCCACAGTTAGATTTACAACCTCCTACTATCTCACCTCATCTCTCTCATTCAACCATAGCGTCCCCTTTAGAAGGCACGGCTCACTGATATTTATGCGCTGACAATTGCATCTCAAAAATCAAATAGACGTTTCTCGAGACGCCGACCCCGCTCTGCTCTTATTCTCCGTCAATTTGCGCTTGAGTGATGGGCCCTAATGGTTGGAAACCGACTCCAGCGCGGCCTAGTGGTCGTTTCTGCCTCTCATGGTCTCCCAGTTGTGGTTTTGGTAAAGCATAAAGTCCTGACAGGAGCTGATGTTTACAGGGCTGAGTCATGCTTTCAAACGCACATACATGTACAGTGCAAGTGTGTATACGTAGGTAGTGCACGCCTTTTAGTACGTCCAGAAGTCTTTGCATGAGTATGTGCGTCGTTTTACGCCGGTGGGTGTATGTGCGATCACCATACCGTACATCCTAATACTAATCAGTCCCAGAATGCCAAGCTTCCCGTCGGTGTCCGCCCCCCCCTCACTCTGCGTGTTGACTCAGGAAGCGGTGAGGTGACGTGCTGAAATACGAGCAGAAACGAGGGCTCTAACGAGAGACAGCGGGGAGGAAGTGTTGGTCCAGAACAGTGATTTCTGATGTGGAAATGACGGGCTTAAATCAGAACATGTGTGGAGGCTTTGACTAGACATGAGGACAACGCAGGAGAGAGGTACGGAGCCACTTTTTAAGGGCCAGATAAGTCGGACGTGTTCAGCCTACGCAACCATGAGTCATCAGTCAAAGCTTAGGATGAAACGGTAAATTACGACAAGGAGAGAATCTAAATCTTTTTCGAGCCCCCAGTGATTCAGATGTTGCTCCCTGGAGCTCTACATCACTTTCTGTCACAAAGCGACGGGAGCTCTTGGGTGCAATCGTTTCAAAGCTCAACTCCAGACTTTGTAAGAATAAATTGCAGAATTTCTCACTCATCCTTCCGTCCGTATTTTGCCTATACTGAGTGCATACTGATCCATACATTTTGAGTGTGAGCCTTTTTGAGACAGATAGTAAATCAGTGTCCCTGCAGTGTGAATATAAGTCACTCTAGTGTCCATACAGGCAACACAAGCTGGCTTGAAGGACCCCTTGCTGTATGGTGTGACGGATGTGGCAGCAGGGGAACATATAAGAGAGATGGAAGAGAGAAGTTGTGCGACCCTATCCGTTCAACACTACCCACCAGCTCTGAAGAGGGCCCCGGCAGCATAGTGCATGGCTAGAGCGTGGACCAGCTGTCTGGCCGTGGTGCACAGCGGCCCTCTCTCAAACAGGGAGAAGGAGAGAGGGGTGTGGTCCGAAGCGATGTACAGCTTCAGGGAGGCGTGGATGCTGACCAACAGGTTGACTGGCTGGATGGTCAGCCTCTGCAGCCGCACAGGGTGGACCAGTGCCTGCACCGACTGGAGCACCTGGAAGAAATTTACTAGTTTTACAATTTTTTTAATACTTTAAAAAAAACTTTTAATTTTCAATAGATCAGGACATTCCCTGTTTTAAGATCTCAAAAAACTAAAAATAATTTCTAGTTTTAGTGTTGACATAAGAGAGTAATCACAAGTAATACTGATGATTAAAACATATTGTGACACACAGACTAAAGTTTATTTACTGGATTAGGTAATAATGGATCAATTATTATAGAATAATCATGAGAAATCTTTTTCTGCCATGCACCAAAAGGATGTGACGCAGTATCATCTATTCCTGTACAAATACGTATTATTTAAGGATGAGATGATGTGAAGATGACTACAAGAAGGTACCATAAGAGTACCAAACACAAATATATATAAAATGTCCTATTATATAGAGTAACTATTTTCATAACTAATCAAATACTGCTGCTAAATGAGCAGCCCTCCCTCGTTGGCATGTTGATAACAATAATGAAGTTCACTTCTGCATGTCTGGTCCGAGCTGAATGCATCTCTGTAGTAATAATGTAATGAGAACAGAGTGAGGAAACCATAAAACCATTATGTTATGAGTAGTGCACCTGTTCAGGGAGGATGGGGACCAATCCAGACTCTCTGCTCCTCCTCTGGGTCCCCGCTGTGGCTGAGGCCATGGCGCTGTCAGGGATGTAGGTGTGGAACAGGGTCTTAATGTAGTAAACAAAGGTGTCTTCAAGGTAGACTCTGGCAGGTTGAAGCTGAAAGGTGATCTGAGGAGAACACACACGAGGCTGTGATGAAGACTTGGACACACCCGTCTCTTTAAGAGATTTAGTCCTTTTTGACATGAGCACTCAGGTCTCCCTTGCAAATAGAGATCTACCTAACCAAATAAAGGTTCAAATAATATTATTCACCCTCTACTGTGACAAAGAAAAACAGAATTACGAAGACAGAAGAATGAATCCAACCTCCTCCGCAGTGCATCTGTCCCCGGCCAGCGTCATCCTCAGCTGCAGGAAACAAGAGCGTTTGAACTCCTCCAGGGCTTCGGGGGAGTCCGTGGGGTTGGCGTCGCTGCTCCACGGACCGCCTGGCTCAGCTCCCACTCTCTGATCCTGGCACAGAAGCACGGGGAAGTGGAAACTGGCCCGGTTGTACAGCTGGTTGTCTACCTGCAGACTGGAGCAGTGGACCTCGATCAGAGAGGCGTCAGGCATTAGGGCGGAGACGGATGCCGCACCCAAGTCAGGGTCGGCCACCAGCTCTGGGGGCGGCGCCGGGGCCAGCGTGAGGAGCAGCTTGGTCAACGTGAGTCTGAGCAGCTCCACGGATCCAGAAGGGTTGGTGATGTCATCGCTCAGCACCACACTGGCTTCACTGAGGAGGACTCTGGTGGACAGCTTAAAAGACCTGAAACAAAACAGAAGTCATTCATGTGAAAGTATTATACAGGGGAAGAAATATGAATGGTTTTCATTCATGCATGTCTAGCAATCGCCCTTTATTACAGTCTATGAGAAAGGAAACAGCTCCATCTCCGACGTAACTTAAGTCTTAAGTAGGCGTGTTATGATTCGGATGATTTGCCGAAGGACCAAACTCATTAATGTTGCGCTGATTATGTTGTGAATTTCCTACCACCAGAACAAAGATCATTGTCTGACGTTATTTGTTTACATTTACCCCATATGTGATTATATCAATTTCCCGTTCTGTCAAAATGAAAAGGCAGCTATGTGTTGATGTAATGGAATAAAGCTGTAATGCCATGTTCTACTGTACTTATTCGCTTTATGACAACACTAGAGACTTTTATTGCCCTCGTGTGGTGCAAAATGATGCCCGTCTCTGCATGTTTGGAGTCTAGTAACAACTGCTGCATGAAAACATGGCTGTTAAAGATAATTATAAAGCAAATTGAGTGAGCGCAGTAAAAGGCACTCGCGTGGATACCTTGAGGTTAGGAAGAACAACACGCGCAGATGATTTCTTACGGTTTAAATATGCAGGGAGAATAAAACAATAAAAAAATTAAAAAAACACTGGCTGTGCACGTGTACCTGCTGTGCTGGTTGATGACGGCGTCCACGCTGCTCTCTGGTGCCAGACACAGAACCAGGGTGCCTCTCTGGTACACCACGTCTATGTAGAGACAGCCAAAGCCTGGCAGGAACACCACCTGAGCAACAGCAGAACACAGATCTGTCGTGAGATGGATCAACACATTTGGATGGAGTTGCTTATTTCCCCCTCTAAATAAACTGAGGAGGTAACTTTACCTATTCACATGTTCACAGCTCGGTGCTCTTTACACTGTATGTGTCTCACTTTTAACCTCCACCGCTCCAGGTTCAGAGCGAAGAGCCCCATCATGTGAAGAAAGGAAGTAGAGCGCTGCCGCAACGCTTCGCCAAGCAGTCATAACAAGTCCGACCTTTGACCTCCCGACCCCTCCCACGGAGGTCAGACCCAGACCTCACAGTAACCAGAGATACACAGCCTCAACCTCAACCCCAACCTGCAGCTGGCTAGACACAACACCAAACATCACACGCACTGCTCCTTTACATCTCACTAACCCCGCACTACTACACTGACACAACCAAAAACACAGGCTGGCTAGCCAGTGGGCGCGCACGCACACACACACTTAGCCAAAACATATTATGGTATGCATGAACACACTAATACTGTATAAACACCTACATACTTCACACACCAACTGCTTTGCCCAAAAACAATGGGGGAAATGTGTACACATTTTATACACATTTCTCTACAAGTTATTTGTCAAAGAGTGTTGCCAAGTATAACGCACATTTCCTTTTTTGAAAGAGGGCAGTGTTGAAATGGGGTGGGGGGGTATGACAAGCAACAAAGTCTGGAATCAAACTTGGGATGTTCCAGTTATACTAAATATGAGGTTCAGCATATTGTCATATAGAGTGACAGAAAACTACCAAATATAAAGCTACTTTTGGGCCTTATGAGTTCAAGGGATTACGTCCTGTCATCATGTATCTGGCTGTTATAAATTAGCTAATTAAAAACATCAACTATAAGCCTGTGATTGGGCTAATCTAGCCTGACAAACTCTGCCTCCACCTATCAGTGGGAGCTGTGACAACAAAGGGTTCAGAGTAACTCTTTAATGTACATCGGTAAACATTAAGGAAGTCAGATCTCATAATACAATCTCTGTATTTCAGTGCAGATGAAATCCTGCCATCTTTTCACCTCCACCCAGCCTACACGCATGCTTTTACCTGAGTGCCGGGGCAGTTGATGTCTATGGGGTCGGTCCAGGAAGTGGAGCCGTGGTCCGAGGTGGTTTTCAGCAGCAGTGCGGGCAGCGTGTCTTTCTGCCTGCACTCTGGGAAACTGGAAAAGTGGTGGTAGAGCTCATGGTGCAGGGAGCAATTGGCAGGCAAAGGACAGCAGTGAACCTCAGTCCTCGGAGTTTCTATTTGAAGATATGAGGGAATAGTAGTAAAACAGCATACTAGTAGTAGTAGTAGTAGTAGTAGTACAAGAGGAGAGGTACGGAGAATAGAGGAGACCAGTCCAGACCAGTCCGGGCATTTCCTTGCTTACCTTTGACAGTTTCCTTCAGCAGCAGTGGGATAGGACACTTGTTGTGGATCAGCATCCGAGGACAGGGGTCCTTGTTCAGGATGATGTATGTCACCCCAAAGTGCTCCTGATATGTCAGTACTATGCCTCTGCAAAACAAAGAACAAAAGCAAGCCCATAAATAAACTGTCCACAGACAGCTCATGTCCCAGCCCCTCGTAACCGCACATTGATGAGAGCCCACCGACATGTCAGACGTCACATTACCACTATGTCCATTTGCAAATCTCTGAGGTACATCCATGGGCAGAGCCCTAACCGAAGCCAGGCGGCGACACACTGTCACTCTGTGTGTTTCTATTGATGTATGTGTGATGCATCACTTACACACAGTAAATGAGAGCCAAGCTGGCCAGTCACTCCAGAGCACAAGTGTGAAGAAAAATACAAAATGCTCATTGGCCTATGTATCGTACATAGCCTGTGTTTTTGGTAGTTGGCTGGTGAAATAGCTTTTTATTTGGGCTAAAGTTAAGACAAAATAAGAATAGAAAGAGAGAAAGATAGAAAGTAAGACAAAGAAGAGAAAGACATGAGAAGGACTGAGAGGAGCAGAGAGACTGACAGTGGAAATGTTGAGGGCATTTCTCCCTTTGCTTTATCTGCAGTATTTAACAAGCTGTGTCCGGCAACCGGGTTTGTGTCCTGTGCCAGCCCGGGGTTCGGTGCCCTGCTCTAAATGGACTGTCACAGCCAGCACGCCACGAATGCTCCGCTTCACCCACCTGCTGCTCAGGCCACCCCCGGAGTCCGGTTCCCCAGGAACAGAGAAACTCTGCCTGGGGAAGTCCGGTCGGACGGGAATGGGGAGGCTCCACGCCGCAGATCCAGATCCCGCTCTTCCATCGTACACGGGAAAAAGGCTGAAGAGCATGTGTTTGAGCGGCAGAGGGAACGGTGGCGTTCCCTGGACACTGGTTTGGAGGAGGTCCCAGCATGGCAGGGAGCAGGGTTTTGCCAGGGAGGATTCCTCAGAGGGAGCCAGGCTGAACAGTGCTGTCTCTGGTATCTCACAGGCCTGAGGAGAGGACATGATATAAACATGATAAAAAAAGGGAAGAAGAAAAGAGGAGATGAAAGGAAAATAAAGGAACAGAAAGGAGGAGAGGAAAAGAAAAAAGGAGTGGAAGAGTATATGAGGGGAGGAGGAGCGAGAAAAAAGAAAGAAAAGGAGAGGATATAAAAGGGAGGAGAGGGAAAATAAAAGGAAAATAAGGAGATGATGAAGGAAAAACATAAAAGCAAAGAAAGACAAGAGAAGACATAAAAATGAACGGAAGTGATGAAAGCAAATGAGAACGAAGGAGGGTAAGTGGACAATGGTTGCGTCAGAAAGGGATATGAAGAAGAGAAAAGTAGAGAGCAAAGGAGATGCGAGTGACTACAACAAAAGATGCATCGTAAAACCACATTGTTATTGTACCCTCTTCTCTCTCCCACTGAGCTTAGTGCTAAATTGGTAGCAGAGGAGCCCTGCTGTGCTGCTTTAGCAGCCAGCGAGCAGCGAGTAGCTGAGGACTACAGGGATTAGGCACTAAGCATGATGAATAGAGCGACTAGAAAGACATTCCTCGCCTTGTTTGTGGTCTGTGTTATTGTTTAGCCCATCGCCCGCTATTTAGCTTTTTTAAAGCTCTTCAACAAAAACAAAAAAAAGGAGTTTTCAGTCAATTAGTGGCTACTGGCAAGCTCTGCCATCCTCCTTTAAGAGGATCTGAAGGCTCGTTAAATGACATCACTGCATTGTTGCTCTCTTTGGGGACAAGCAGCAGATGAAAGGGAGTGGGGAAAAAAGCTGCATCCAATTCTGGGTGTTTGTCTAATGTCCCAATGAAGTGCCATTGCCACATGGTGAAAACGGTGGAGGGAGAGAGAGAGAGAGAGGGAGAGGGAGAGGGGGAGAGAGAGAGAGAGAGAGAGAGAGAGAGAGAGAGAGAGAGAGAAAGAGGGGACCGGGGGTTGGAGAAAAAGCATGATCTGATGGAAAACGGCTTCTCGCGTCCGAGCAGTGTGCGTGTGTGTGTGGGGTAGCGCTGGGGTTGGATGTGTGTGAGTAATGCACACAGGGAATATTCTGTATGTGTGAAGTTTCAGAAACTTCAGCAGGACAGGGAAGACACGATGCAGAGCAAAACGAAAACACACACACACACACACAGGCCTTATGGCTCTGAGGTAGCAGTGAGGAAATGAAGCTGCGGCCCCTGAATTTACACTAATTCACTGTGTTCTGGAGAGCTGGAGCGAGCGGTTAAGTTGGTGGGGACTTAAGAGACTGGGCAGGTGTTGTGATGTATGGAATATTATTAGCCTAGCCTGAAACGTCTCATACGTTCTAGCGCTATGCCAGCACAAGCAGCTGTTTTAACTGTTCAAATAAAGGTGGAGAAAAGCACATTAAGATCCTGTATTTGCACCTTTCATATTTTACCACAAACAAAAATAACCCAGAGTTGACACGACTGGCGTTATTTCACAGAGAAATAATGCTGCGCTCTTGGGAAACGTCCTTTGAGTCACACGGCCGAGGTTTACTCATTTGCACGTTTGCGTGCATAGTGGTTTAAAAACAGAGCGTGATTCAGAGAAACCCCTCAGTTCAGCGCAGAGAGAGAGAGGAGAGAGAGCTCATATGTGGGAGCACTTATGCACGTCACCTGGTCATCTGTTCCCAGCGGATGGGCGGCCAGCAGAGGCCTGCACTGGATCGTGTACGGGGTGTTGTTGACAAGAACA